TGAATGGTTGGGTGTATGCTGCAGCAGTTGGGCCAGTCCTGCTATAGGTTTCAAAGACTTGGCAATTACGGGAACACGATAAAAAATACATTGTCGGTGTTCGAACACCGCTGTCTACGTCGTATTGCACGAGTCTGGTGGGGAAACTGGACGAGTAATTCTGGGGCTAGGCGTAGAATGATAGATAATCCCGGTTGTCCACTGGAGCAAGTAGTCGACCTCCATAGAATACGCTGGTTGGGATGTGTTACGCATATCACCAGATAGGTCACCACGACGAGCAGTGCTTGGCGAAGCAGCTAGCGGTTGGAAAAAAATGAAGGGCGGTCAAGCTAAGACCTAGCATGAGAGCATGAAAACCCTGACCAAGAGACTAGCTCACATAGGCCCCGCTGGGCTCCCTGGATGGGGACTTCGGGATGATCGTAACCGATCGTAACCGTTAGAGACACTGAGCGATATATCCGAGTGTCACAAACAGTAGCGCTCATGCATCCACTCATTATTCTTGTAACTTCAGTCTATATGAATTCACTGTCTTTCGCTTGAATTCGCTCTCAACAATCCAATCTCCATTCTGCTGTTTTATCCAAATGGGCAAGCTAAAGACAGTAACCAAAACTGGTGCACAAAAGTGCGTGGTTTACGGACTGAACTGAACTGAATGGAAATCTTTTGTGCATACGCTGAGAATAACTTGCAGTCATATTTTCAGTGACAGTAATTCGCTCATCACATCCTACTGAGAAACTGCATTCCGGGTCGGTTGTGTTTATCTCTTGCCTTTTGTTTTGGGTTTATTTGTGCTGATCAAAACCTGATCTCCCCTTCATATTGGTAACTATTTTTCTGTTGAACTTTAGTATTCAATACGTCATCGTTGCACTTTTCATCGGCTGGGTTTGTGATACTTGTTTTTTTCGTCACTCAAATTCTGTAGAAATCATTTGTAAGTCAAATCGTCACACTACACACACTCATATATATATACATATATATATAGAGAGAGAGAGATTTAGCAACAATCAGCTCATCTCAGCAGGGAAGCCCGGTACTCATATATTTGGGTTTATTGATCAGTCCGATTGGGACTAACGAGCCGATATTGATTTACCGCCTACCGATTCAAGGCGTAATAATCTATTCTCTTGATCAGACGACGATCAATAGACCAGTCGTTTTGTTGGTCATTGATTGTTTTTCTTCTCTAAGTGTGACACTTCATAAAGTCAGTATAAGAAATGACAGATTACGTTACGCTTTATCCGGTTCATTTTTTCGGACAATTTTCATCAAATTGCTTTCATTTGTTGGATGCGACCGTTCAATTGTTTTTTTTTAATAAATCATGTCATTTGATGCTCATGAACCCTTAGCATCGCACACACACACACACACACACAAATTTGAGCAATTAGTTAAGGTAGGGGGGGGGGGAATTTACATTTTAACCCTGATTGAAAATCGCACTCATTGGTGTAGTGTGTCTTGTGCACCAGCAGGAGGTGGTGGAACAGAATACGCACACCGTTTGGTTGTTAATGAAAACTTTTCCCCCCGTCTTCAGGAAAATAGCTTCGACCGGTATGAGTGAGCTGCAGAAACGATATTGAGCGAGATAGGGCCTTGGGAATCAATCATACATGGTGCACGATGCACATTGAGGTATGCCACACTGTGAGCCGGACATGTGATACCGTCTAAAATTTTGCCCGAAAGATATTCCAAGTTTGACTCACAGTTACTTGTGAGTAATGGTGTGGGATAATTGGTTTTTAATAGTTTGAGCTAACTATGCTTCGGACTTCACTTTCATGTGCACAATCCTCAGTTCATTGATTCAATCGCGCACACTCGGAAGCACTATTGACTCGAGTTTCACTCTTATTAGAGCTCATCAGTAGTGCATATTCCCCGCCTCCTCCCGTCCGGGATTTGAACTCCAGACCCATCGGGCATGGAAGGCGTGTGCGTTAACACTGCGCCAACCAGCTCATGCCATGACTGAACTAAATTGCCAATTCATGTTTGTTCAGCTGTTGTCTTCAGTGATAGTCAGTTCAGAGCGGCCCGACAGCAACGAAGGGAGACACAGATGACGAAACATATTCAACGCGCTGAAAAAGCGGCTGCATCAGTTGTCTAAATTTGAGATTATTCACTGTTCAGTTAAGTGTTTACAACCATTAGCCATGCTATTTCATGCGCCTGTTTTGTTTACTGTCTTTAGCTTGCCCATTTGGATAAAACAGCAGAATGGAGATTGGATTGTTGAGAGCGAATTCAAGCGAAAGACAGTGAATTCATGTAGACTGAAGTTCCAAGAATAATGAGTGGATGCATGAGCGCTACTGTTTGTGACACTCGGATATATCGCTCAGTGTCTCTAACGGTTACGATCGGTTACGATCATCCCGAAGTCCCCATCCAGGGAGCCCAGCGGGACCTATGTGAGCTAGTCTCTTGGTCAGGGTTTTCATGCTCTCATGCTAGGTCTTAGTCTGAGCACCCTCGACTTTCTTCCACCCACTACCTGCGTCGGCAAACATCGCTCGCCGACCACATGCTCCAGTGGACGACCGGTGTTACCTAAAACTCTTCGCCTAACCTCAGCGTTGTACGTCCGGTATCCCCACCAGACTCGTACAATACGACGTAGACAGCGGTGTTCGAACACCGACAATGTATTTTTTATCCTGTTCCCGCAATGGCCAAGTTTCTGCATCGTAGAGCAGGACTGGCCGAACTGTCGCGGCATACACTCGACCCTTCACAGACAGCCGGATGTCTTGGGTGGCACCGCAGATGTTCCAAGTTGGCAACTGCCAAA